GGGTTTTGGGCAGGAATTTTGTCCTCCAGGAGCGCAGCACGGGGATGAGCGCGCATCGCCGCACGAAAGACCGTTTTGTTCCTCTGTTTTCCCGGTCGGAGCCCCATGACCTGGAGCAGAGCTCAGTCCTCCCGCAAGGATGAGCCTCCTGACTCCAGGCTCTCAGGACCCCACATCCGCACTGGGGGACACACAGATTCACCCCAGCGGGCACCGCTTGCCCCTTCCCACGTGCACGGGCACCTGCTCCCCCGGATTGGGGCCCCTCGTGGCTCCAAAGGGCTCCCCAGGGAACCATGATGCGAAAATGAAATCGCTCCGGGATCGGTTTACAGGGTTGCTCCCTGGAGAGGTGACCCCAGGCCACAGAGGGGCGAGCAGCTCTGGGCCCCACGTCGCTCCAACAGCCCGAGGGGGTTGGAGACAAATCCCGGGAGCCTGGAGCATCCCGGCATGGGGGAACGGGGGTCCCGCTCCGGGGCCCAATCCCGAGCGGCGTCCCCGGGGCCGCATCGCCGTCCCCGCTGCCCTCCCCGCGTACCTGGTGCACGAAGACATCGACGGGCGAGTCGAGCGCCGCGCCGCCCTTGGCCGTCATGGAGAGGAAGCCGAAGCCCATGCGGACGTTGAACCACTTACAGATGCCGGAGCCGTGAAGCAGCTGAGGCTCCTTCTCGGCCTTCGGGGAGTCTCCGGCCGCCTCCTCGCCCGTCTTCGCACCTGGGGATGGATCCGAGAAGCAGCTGAGCCCAGAGGAGCCCAGGGTCCCCCCGGCAGCCCCTCTGCTGCCCCCAGGGGAGCGGGCAGCCCCCATGGGGGCCAAATCCTGCAGGTTGGGGTGCCGGGAAGGGGGGAATCCCCCCCGCCGACATGGAGCCCGGCTCTATCTCCGTGCGCACAGGGACAGCTCTGGAGCCAGGGAAACGAAGGCAGCGCCACGGTGGGATCGCCTCAGTTCACCCCTTCCTCCCCAAAAAGAGCCTGAACCCATTCCCCTCAAAAACACAAACAAACCAACCCAAAATAACTCCCAAACACACATGCACAAAAAGGGAAAAATATTCCCAAAATAACA